CCCCCCCTCTCTCTCTCTCTCTCTCTCTCTCTCTCTCTCTCTCTCTCTCTCCTTAGACAGGGTCTTTCTGTGTAGCCCTGGCTGTTCTGGAACTAGCTCTTGTAGACCAGGCTGGCCTCAAACCTCACAGAGATCCACCTGCCTCTGCCTCCTGAGTACTGGGATTAAAAACAGCTCAATTGACTAGTTTTAAAAGGAGGATGAGGTCAGAGTGCTTTCTGTAAACAAGTTTTACCAGGTTGGGAAGTTTGAAAATTTTTCATAAAAGTTATAAAAAGTAGGGAAACTGACATTTCTGATGGAACTAGAGATTCATTCTGCTGAGCCATCTTCCACCCCAACATTCTGGTTTTTTTTTTCAGTATAGACATAGAAGAAATTTGAAAAACTAGGGCCTATAGAGAACCAGAATTGAATTCCTTCCCATCACCCACATCTGCAGTTTGCAACCACCGGTACCTTCAGTTCATCTGACCTCCTTGGGCATATGGTACACATGCAGACAAACAGATAAATGCATAAAATACTAAAACTTTGTTTTGTTTTGTTTTTAGAGGCAGGGTTTCTCTGTGGCTTTGGAGGCTATCCTGGCACTCACTCTGGAGACCAGGCTGGTCTCGAACTCACAGAGATCCTCTGCCTCCCGAGTGCTGGGATTAAAGGCGTGAGTCATCACGGCCCGGCAATACTAAAACTTTTTAAAAAGAAATTTGAGAAACAGTATACCTATTTGAAATGCAGTGTACGCATCATACAGCTTCCCTTAAAAAATGACATTAAATTTGTTTTTCTTTTAAAATAATATTTATTGTTTACATTTATATAAAAGCTATTTCCATTTCCAAAGAACTTTCCCCTATGTGATTTCCATCTTCCTCACAGCAATAACTAGCCATTCATACAGTTATGGATAAACTGTTCCATTTTGTTAGGCAGTAATTACAGATTTATTTTTACATCATTTACAACTGTGCTGTTTAACAGCAAGTTTTACTCTACTCTGTCTAGGCATTGATAGCAGATAAACTGACCTTCCTTTAGTGGCTCAGCTTTTAATGAGTTCTCACGCTCTCAAAACTGCCACAAGAGTTTTACTCCCACACCTCAAGCACATATAGCGGTTAAGCTAAGCCCCTGGACTTCAGACCTAAAGCATGTAAATGCAAATCCCAGCCCTTGTCACTTAGGCTTCTTAACCTCACCATTGCTTGTTCTCCTTCAGTTAACAAAAAAACAAAACAAACAACAGAAACAACAAACCTCAAAGAATGGTGAGATATGCCTTTAAAATCCCATCACTCTGGAAACAGGCAGGCAGATCTGGCAGGCAGTTCCTGACTAGCCAGAGCTAAAGAGAGAAAAAGTAGCCTTAGAATTAGAATAGGCAACAGTCAAATTCAAGTCAACAAACACTAGCACAAATTATTGATTCATAATAATAAATGGCAAAAATAGAAATGAAAGCTACTTTAATTTAAAAAAAAAAATTCAAGCTGAATGGTGGTGTTGCATGTCTTTAATCCCAGCACTCAGGAAGCAGAGGCAGGTGGATCTCTGTGTCATCCTGGTCTACAGGAATGCCTTGCTTTCAATTCCTAGTTCCTGGGTCTTGATAGTGGAAATATGTACATAAGGATATTCCTAAGGATATTCCTCTATTTGCTCTCTTTGTCAAGTTTTGTGTTTGTTTGTTTTTTGGATTTTTCAAGACAGGGCTTCTCTGTGTAGCTTTGGAGCCTGTCCTGGAATTCACTCTGTAGAGCAGGCTGGCCTCGAACTCATAGAGATCCACCTGCCTCTGTCACCACCACTATCTGACTTAGTTTTCTTTTTTCTTTTCTTTTCGTTTCTTTTTTTTTATGATGGTAGAAACTTTTTCACAGTTTTTTTTTAAACAATTTTATTTATTTATTATGTATACAGTCTTCTGCCTGCATGCCAGCAGAGGGTACCAGATCTCATTCAAGGTGGCTGTGAGCTACCGTGTGGTTGCCAGGAATTGAACTCAGGACCTCTGGAAGAAGTCAGTGCTCTTAACCACTGAGCCATCTCTCCAGTCCCTTAGTTTTCTTTTTTAATTGTTTTGCTTTTATATGTATTGTGATTTGCCTCCATCTATGTCTGTGCACCACATGTGTACAGTACTCATGGAATCCAGAAAAGGGCCTTAGATCCCCTGGAACTGCAGTTATAAATGGTTGTGGGCTACTATGTGGATGCTGGAAATTGAACCCAGGTCCTTGAGAGGAGCAGCCAGTGCTCTTAACTACTGAGCCATCTCTCCAGCCCCTCCTTTAGCATGCAAAATTAGAAAATACCATTGTAAAGAAAGAGTCCTTATGTTGCTGTTGTATTATTGCACTAGTATGCATTCCCACTTCTGCATTGTAGCACTGATAGAGAAGGGATTGTTTCTCATGTACCATTGTGGTACATTTGTCCTCAGGAATCTGGAAGGAGTGTCAGCTCCAGTATACTCCTTGGACTGAAGAGACAGACATATTTCATTAAGTATTCAGACTCTGGTTTTGACTTCATTTGTGTGATGTTTAAGAACTTGAAGGGTTGGAATTTTTAGTGTTTGTTTGTTTTAAACATCTTTCTCTTTGTTTTGTTTTTTTGTTTTTTCTTTCTAGCCCGAGAATGAAATTTCTTCAGACTGCAATCATGTAAGTATGATTTTTTTTAAAGATTTATTTATTTATTGTGTATACAGTATTCTGCCTGCATGTGTGCCTGCAGGCCAGAAGAGGGCACCAGATCTCATTATTGTGTGTTGTGAGCCACCATATAGTGCTGAGAATTGAACTCAGGACCTCTGGAAGAACAGCCAGTGTGCTCTTAACCTGTGAGCCATCTCACCAGCCCAATAAGTATGAATTTTCAGTAACTCACCATATGTGCTTTATAAATATAATGAAAGATTTTGGGAAGCTTTTTGATCTTTTTCTGGAAACTATATTTTCTCTGATTCTATGAGTTTTAAAAGGATGTTATAAGCCTTGTTTAAGGAGCCTTGTAAATACTATCTTGTTGTAAGAAACCCTAAGGTCAAAGAAAACAGATATGCCAGGGTGGTGGTTAAACTCAGCAGGCAAAACTCCCGTACACATTAAAGAAATAAAAAGCAAAACCAAACAACTCTAAAGTAAACCATGTAACAAAGGGTCAATCAAATGTTTTCAGGGAATGAAGACATATTCCTGGAAACTAGAATCTGAGCAACTCTCCTTAAGGTTGATCTGTGAAAAGCACTGTTCAGTGAATTCTCAGACAAACTCCACCACATCTGAGCATTTAAGGCAGACTTTTTGGAAGCAGATGTTTTCTCCAAAACTTTATCAGGGACTTTAATATTTAGGGTTTTTGTTTGTTTGTTTGTTTGGTGTTTTGGTGGTGGTTTTTGTTTTTTTTGAAATAGGGTCTCTCTCTGTAGCCCTCACTGTCCTGGAACTTCCTCTGTAGAACAGGCTGTTCTTGAACTCGGAGATCTTCCTGCCTTCCAAGTGCTGAGACTAAAGACCTGTGCCACTACCACCGAGCTACTTTTTTTCTTGATACCACATAATTTAGAATTTTTTAGTTTCAGTTAAGTGTGTCTGTGTGTGGGTTTGTGTGGATGGTACAGTGTCCATGGAGGTCAGAAAAGAGTATCAGATGTCCTGGAGTTGGAGTTATAGTTAGGAGCCTCAGAACCTGAGTTCTGAGAGCTAAACTCTAGTCTTCTGCATGAGCAGTAAGTGTTCTTAATACTGAGCCATTTCTCTAGCCCATGTACCTCATAATTTTAATTCATAGTTTTAAAAACATCATTTAGGAGGAAAGAAAAAAGAATTATCTGGATGGTGGATGCTCATTTAATTGTTTGTATATATTTTTTTGCTTTTTACCTGTGAATGTGATGACTTTGTGTGTTACTGGAAATGTAAATATGCTTTATATGTATTACTAGATTTGTCATTTATAATAATCACTGATGACAAATTTCATGTTGTTGTAACCAGAGGGTTTTTGTTTTGTTTTGTTTTCTTCCTCTCTTGAACCCAGTTGTTGTGGAATTACAAGCTGAACCTGACTACTGATCCCAAATTTGAATCTGTGGCCAGAGAGGTTTGCAAGTCAACTATATCAGAGGTAAAGTATGAAGTAGTTTTGTGGATATTGTGATTTATAAGACAAAGTAGAATCTGTTGGCCACCCTGCTTAAAGGAAATGACTAAACTAATTGCTTTGCTTTCCTTGGAGTTCTCATCTGCTTTGGTTGTGATACAAGAAGGATGTTTACACTTCTTTTTGTGACTACCCACTGAAACAGTATGATGAAGTCGTTTGTTTTTGTTGGTTTTGGTGGTTGTTGTTGTTTTGTTTGTTTCTTGTGGGGGTTCTTTGGTTTTTGTGGTTTGTTTGTTTGTCTTTTTTTTTTTTTTTTTTTTTTTGAGACAGGGTTTCTCTGTGTAGCTCTGGCAGTCCCAGAACTCACTATGCAGAACAGGTGGGCCTCGAACTCAAGAGATCCTCCTGCCTCTACCTCTTGAGTGCCATGATTAAAGGTGTGTGCCACCACCACCTCCATTGTCCTTAAGCTTGGATTCTACTAAGTTCAGGAATATATATCTAAATCCATAGTTTATTGAGATCACATTACATTATGTCTTCTCTCCTCTCCTTTGGCCATAAGGTTTATCCAGTGATAGTGGTTGGCTGTGTAGCTTGGCCTTCAGATCTGCATGTTTTCCAGACCTACTATTTAGATTTTTGTTCACTGCATTCTTGCATGGTTAAAAGGATCCCTTTGTTAGCTAAGGGTATAGATGTTAACAGCTCTTTTTATTCCATTTAGAAAAGAGTTCTAGCTAGGCCATGGTGGCACACACCTTTAATCCCAGCCCTTTGGGGGAGACAGAGGCAGGCATATCTTTGAGTTTGAGCCCAGCCTGGTGTTTGTAGTGAGTTCCAGGACAGCCTGGGCTCTTTAGAGAAACTGTCTAAAGTGGGGGAGGGAGGTGAGGGGGATTTCCACAATTTTTTTGTTTGAATGGTGGATTGAGGAAAACACATTTACTGGCTTATTGTAAATGACATTTGAAAGGATATAGACCATTGGTCCTCAACCTTCCAGTGCTGCAACTGTTTGATACAGTTCCTCATGTTCTGGTATCCATACAATTATTTTCATTGCTACTTCACTACTGTAATTTTACTACTGTTATGATATCTGCTTTCTGATGGGTCTTAGGTGACCCCTGTGAAAGGGTCCTTTGACACCCATCCCAAGGAGTCACGACCCATAGGTTGAGAACCACTGATAGATGAAGAGATACATATGTCAAGGTTTAAGAGAAAAGCCTCAATTGTGCACCTTTGCTAGTGCTCCACCCTCTAGGGATCTGCATGTCTAGCTATCTAGAAACTCCTAAACCTGTTCTTCTGGTTTTATGGAGACTTCATTGTATATCTAATATTAAAGTGGATGGGAAAATCCAGCCATGCCTGTCAGCATTCTTCTTGGCCTCTGGAGCATTCCCGACTCCATAGAATAAGAGGGAAGGATAGTTCAGGAGTTCAGAGAATGCAATAGCCACCTTCCAGTATTGAAAGACAAGAAGTATTAGGGCTTCTATGACCTGAATCAGGAAAGAGAAATCCTAGTTTCTAAGGCCCTGCTTGGGCAAGGGAGTTATGAGGAACCATACATAGGTAAGAGCCAAATTCTTTACCATTTCATGAAATAACACTATCTTTCCTTAAAACCAATGTATTTCTAAACATCCTCCTTTTTGTCTCCTATGTAAAGAGCTTTTAATGTCTGAACTCAGGAGGCAGAAGCAGGTTGATCTCTGAGTTGAAGGTTAGCCTGCTACCTAGAGAGTTCCAGGCTAGCTAGAGCTGCACAGGAAGATATTATCTCCAGCAATAATAATAACAAAATAAGTTTCTTGCTTGGAATATGGTCTCTTGATTTAATATGTGTAAAGTAGCTACTTTTTTTTTTTTTAACAGATTAAAGAATGTGCTGAAGAACCAGTTGGTAAAGGTTACATGGTTTCTTGCTTGGTGGATCACCGAGGCAACATAACTGAATATCAGTGTCACCAATACATTACCAAAATGACAGCTATCATCTTCAGTGATTACCGATTGATTTGTGGCTTCATGGATGACTGCAAAAATGACATCAACCTTTTGAAATGTGGAAGTATTCGCCTTGGTGAAAAGGTATCTATTACATCTATTTCTCCAATGAATCTATGAACTTGGTAAATGAAAACTATTGTATAACTCACATGGGAGAAAACTAGGACTTAAGGTGATCTAAAAGTTTAAATTAAAAGAAAATTGTACAGATACTTCCTATGATTCAAGACTGATTGACTTAGGATGTTTTCTGGGTTTGTAAGGGAATATTTCAGTATTTATATTAGCTATTTCTCATGTTGCTGTAACAAAATAGCTAACAGAAGCAATTTAAGGAAGGAAGGATGGTTTTATTTGGGTTCCTGAGCAGATATAATACAGTGAGACCCTGGGCTGATTGGTTGTGTTCCACCCACTGTTAGGAAACAGAGAGACAATACCTCTCTCCCATTCTCTCTCTCTCTCTCTCTCTCTCTCTCTCTCTCTCTCTCTCTCTCTCTCTCTTTCTCTCAGTTCAGGACCTTTGCACCCTTTTTCAAAATAGTATTCTTTGACGACTTTCGGTTAAACTGATCTGGAAACACCTTCACAGACATACCCAGAGGTTTATCCCCCTAAGTGAATCTAAATCACATCAAGTTACCAGTTAAAATTTATCATCACTTACCCTGCTGTGGTGATGCACACCTTTAATCTCAATACTTAGGAAGCAGAGGCAGGCAGATCTCTGTGTCGTTTGAGACCATCCTGGTCTACAGAGTGAGTTCCAGAACAGCCAGGGCTACACAGAGAAACTCTGTCTTGAAAAACCAAAAAAATAAAAAAATAAAAAACACAAAGCTTCATCATCACTGTATTCACTGTATTGTTTTCTACTAGTCAGAAGTTTCGTCCTCCTTAGTACAACTGTTTTTATGTTTGAAATTATTAGTCCAGTGGTTCTCAACCTTCCTAATGCTATGGCACTTTAATACAGTTCCTCGTGTTGTGGTGACCCCAACATAAAGTTATTTTCATTGCTACTTCATAACTGTAATTTTGCTACTATTAATTGTAATGTAAATATCTGTTTTCTGGTAGGTTGAAAACCATTGTATTAGTCTATTAAACAGGATGTCACTGTGGGCATCTGGTTCTGGATTTGTTTGTTCAGCAAAAATGAAAGCTATTCATGAAAAATAATGAATAACATGGGAGAGGTACTCAAAGACATAGCATCAGATTTTAATTGCTAGTGGTCGTAAATCTTGACTAGGACCCAAGAAGGAGAAGAACCCATTGTTTCTTTGTCCTCTCTTTGTTTATGATTTGCATACATCTTTGACAAGTGGATCATTTGTGTTAGGTCCCTGTAGCTGAAATGAAGGATTTAGTGCTGAGTTTTGTCTGCCTGTCAGCAAACCTTAGTGTTTTTACACATCAGCATAGGTTCCTGTTCCCTCTTGTCAGTGTCTCTAAGTCAACCTTAAAAGCTCTATAATCTTGACATGAAGCTTTCAGGCAACTAAAGAAAGGCTGGTTTCATTTGTCTTTCTTAACTAAAAATGGCACAAAAACATTTGAGTCACCCTGGTAAATTTAGGAAGCTCCTCTGGCTTCATTTAGGGTGTTAGGGATTACATCTGATTCAAAACCTGAGTCATTTTAAAATCTTCACACTAGTGCCCCTGACACACTTTTCAGGAATCTTGATGATACTTTTTTTTACATTGTGTTCAGTGATCATACAGTATAGTTCCATTTTATGGTTGTTTTACCTATTGCCTGTCAGATCAAGAGCTGATTAGCTCCCTTGCCTGTCTGAATTACCAGTATAAAACCTGTTCTCATGCTGGTTGTTGGTGGTGCATGCCTTTAATCTTAGCACTTCAGGGAGGCAGAGGCCGGGGGATCTGTGAGTTCAAGGCCAGCCTGGTTTACAGAGCAAGTTCCAGAATGGCCAAAGCTACACAGAGAAACCCAAGTTTCTAAGTCTGTAGTGGCTGGAGTTGAAGGCCAAGACAGATTGTCTATTTGGATGTAATAAAATAACAAAGACCAGCTTCCTTGAACCTCCAGGTGTAGTACACTTTTATCATTTTTATCTTTTGTCGTTATTTTTGCCTGATTGTTTTGAGACAAACTAATATGTATGTATATAGCCTTAGGCTAGTTTCCCAAATGCTATGATTATAGATGTTTACCAACATACCCAGTTCTTTTTTATCTTTTGATATATAACTACCAATTAAGTAAAATTTCTGTTCATACTAGATCCATATTCACATGCCAGGTTTTCTTTGGCTTAAGTGCAGAGATATGGGCTCAGCCTACCTCATAGGAAAAAAACCACTATCCTTCCAATGTAATTTCCTCTAGAGCCACAGGCATGTTTAATCCTCTAAGGCCAAACTTCAAATTTGCTGCCACTGAAAGTGACCTACAAGGATCAGAGAAGAAAGGATTCATGGCTAATCTGTCTTCACCCCTCCTCTGTAAAGTATGTAAAATAATATTGTAATGTTTGACTTTAGTGATTTTTTTTCCCAAAATGAATTTTAGAACAAAGAAGATATATTATCAAAACCTTTTGCATTTTCTAAGTAAATGTCAGAATGAAAGGGCAAGTTTCTAGAAGTAGAAGTATAAATGAGTCACATCAGGAAGAAAAATGGGGTGCCTGTGTGGACCTTTGCTACAGTATCACTGCTTCGCACTTTTGTTACTTGTATCATTTTAGTATTTCCGATGTTTAATCAACTACCTTGAATAGTTCAAACAGTCTTTTCCTTCAGTCCACTAAAGTAATCACAGGAAACATCAGGAACTTCACACTAGAGAATTGTTTATACAAAGGAAAAGTTCAGCTCTTCCTTACTATCTGAGATTAGTGTTGGTGGTGGTAGTTGAGGACAAGGAATGAGGGAAAGAAAAACACCCATCAGACTTCTCAATGTGTATCAAGACAGTGAGGATTTTTCAGACAGACTTTTTTCGTGTGTGTGTGTGTGTGTGTGTGTGTGTGTGTGTGTGTGTGTGTGTGTGTGTGTGTGTGTGTAATATACATATGAAAACCATGTGTGGGGCATATAATTAATTAAAATATTAAAATTTATTGGGATTTAAAGAGTATTCGATGCTCTTAGAGAGGATCTGGATTCAGTTTTCAGCATCCATGTCAGTCAGCTCACAACTAACTCCTGCTCCAGGGGATTTAATGCACTGGCACTCACATGTATAGCCCCCTGCACTCACACACACACACACACACACACACACACACACACACACACTCTCTCCCACCCCTTGGTTTAATCTGCAGCTGGGTGTGGTGGTTCACACCTTTAATCCCAGCACTTGGGAGGCAGAGGCAGGTGGATCTCTATGAGTTTGAGGCCAGCCTGGTCTACACAGTGAGTTCCAGGACAGGCTCCAAAGCTACACAGAGAAACCCTGTCTCCAAAAAAAAAACTCTAGCACCATGCATATTAAAGAAATTTTGCTGAGTGTGGTGGTAGATATGTCTCTAGTCCTAGCACATTAGAAGTAGAGGCCAGCAGATCTCTTGAGTTCAAGGCCAGCATGGTCTACACAGTGAGTTCCAG